TACAAGTGTAGGTAATTTCATTGTTATCCACATTTGATATCATCATTTATCACATACTCCATGATACCGTTGTCTGTCCGCTACAACTGCCAAGAATTAACGCGATTGGCGAAGCGTAGTGACAGCGGGCCAATAGAGAGCGGGATCCTTGCCATAATGCGGCTTGCGCGCCAATTTTCATACGTGCGTTAATCAAGCCGAATAGTTTGGCCGAATATTCGGTATTTGGCCTGAGGCCGAATATACTATTCATTACAACACTACTTTTTTTATAACTCCAATTTTACAATTGAGTTTAAATTTTCTTTTATAATTAGATAAAATGTCCATTCTGATGTTGTATGTACTGTACTGTACTGTACTGTAAATATTTATAATAATGTATATTTAAATACTGTATTTTTTCATATTGACAGTTTACTATGGTATTATATCACTGATACTGTTATGATACTGAATCAGTGGAAAATTAGTTTGATTTAAAGTATTTTGCTTAATAGTAATTTTCCAAGAACCAATCAAGCCATGAAAGTAAGGAGTTCATTTATGAATGTACATATTAATATGTATGTACAAATATACATAAAAGAATAATATAAAGATATTAAAATATATAAATACTAAATATATGCTTTTTAGCATATATTAATATTTTAAATATTAATATTAATATTTTTAATAAAATTTAATAGTACATACATATGAAATGTTAGACATCAATACAGTAATATTCTTTGTATCTACATTATACAGAACAATTGCTCCATATTTATCTTGAAACATATATTCATCATCTATAAAATAAAAATTACAAAGGAGTAATGATTATTTAAAAATAATTAAATTTAATTATATTTATTGTTATTTAAAATTAATTGACAAGAAGTATTTCAAAAAATTAATGAGATTGATGTCATTATTACTAAATCGTAAATATTTTGTTGTTCCATCAGCTTATTCTCTTCCATATAAACATCGTTACATTCCAATTAATTTAAATTAATTGATTCTTATAAAAAAGTTATTTGCATGTCTATGTTATATCATCTGCTTTCATCTGAACTTGGGTATAAAATTTGAGCAAGAGTTACTCTGCAACATTCACAAAGTAATTTAATAGTAACTAATAAATAATTTATAATAAATATATGCCTCATAAAAATAACTGCATTTTACTATTATAATATTTTTAAAAAATTCCTGAAAAATCAATGTAAAACAACTCCAATAGATTATTGTTAGTGTTATATTTGTTAGTACCTGGAAAAACAAAAGAATTTAAATTAATAAAATATGAATAATCTAATTAAATACTCCATTATAATAATGCATCAATTTTCCATACAGACAACAATGGCTATAATTGAATCTACCAAAGACTTATACAAGTGGATTATTAATAGACTATAACAATTAAATTATCTAATTAATACCACTAAGTAATTTGAACTAAAATTAGACAATTGGGCTAAATGGAATGACAATAAGAGGTCTGGGTAGAGTAACCACTGACACATCTATATACAAACCATCTATTGCATACCAGTACTGTACAGACAATGATTTGAGCCATACTCGGGTGGATCTATTCTTTCCAGAAACTTCTAAATTAATTTATTTACTTTAAAATTAATTATTCTTATCATCATAAGTTGGCAGCCTATCTATCTACCTTTAGACCACATTATGTAATTTAATTATCTAATTAATAGTATTATTACAATCTGTTAATATCTAGTTGTTCAAGCATTTGGCTGCTCAAAGATATCAGACTATGATTTCTGTTTGTATGGCTATAATTGAAAAAATTAGATCTGAATTCATAGATAATCTTAAAGTACTTTTTATCATATAAAGCCTTAGAGCACTAAAGTTGATGCATCAAATTAAATTCAGAAATAAATATCTACAATGAAAATTAATATGCATTAATAGTAAAGAAATTTTTAAAAATATTTCATTTTGTTTTTTACAAAATTTTCCATAAATAATAAAAATAGAACATAAAATGTAAAATTGAAATATAAAACAAATTCATTGATGATATAAATGACACTTGTCTTGTTAACCTTAAATATACTTGTCGACATCCAATTTGGCACTCTCTGTCCTACTTTTTCCTACACATCAATACTGCTGTATGTTCTGTGAAACAAATAAAATAAATCAAATGAATCAGCAAAAGTGCCACTATTTAATCAATTGATGAGATCTCTGTTAACATTGTTTGCAATTTAGTAATATGCAAAATGCTGGTCAATGAAACTATTTGTTTATATTAAAGTTGTTTTTTGGTTCAGTAGTAAATATTTTTATGAGATGATTATAATACCCAATATGATTTTTATTTTCAGAGAAATACTGGTAGTTAGTTTCTTATCAATCAAATATCTATATTTCAAAAATCAACAAGAAAATATCATATCATATATCACAGTTTTCAGATATTGAAGTCCTTATTATATCAGATATCTCTGAATTTATCAATGTAAATTATGATTATGCAACATGACAAATATTAGGAATTAATACCACAGGAAGCATTTTCAGTGAAGTAAAACAGCAGCTGAAACTTGAAAATGAAACCTCACATATTGTTTAAAGTACTGTACTTTAAACTGGAGCTGAATTATGTTGCTAGGTTTTAGAACAATTTGTTGAGATTCCTTTGACAGATGAAATTGAAATAAAATAAATCTTCATTTACAGTTGACAAATCAAATTTATCTTCAGAATTTAATAAGAATCTATACCAACTGTAATTGGAAAGACTACAATAATTTTTACTATTTTAAATGTCAACCAAACTAGGAATTCACTTTCACTGATATGTTAATAGCCAAAAAGACAAGTGATGCATCTTTTAATTTGTTCTTTTATCTTATCTTATTCTCATTTTACCATATATTATAAAACTTAGATACAAATAAATATTAATATGAGTAAAAGTCATATTTAACTTGTAGAACAACTGCTTTTGGTGCAAGGAGTTTCATATTCTGCAAAATTGAGAGATGATACAAATTCAACATAAAAATATGTATGTGTAGATTTCCATTGTAATATATCTGTATATCTGCCAATGTTCAAAATAGTATAACTAAAGAAACAAAACCATATTAGAAAGATTTTTACAGGTAACAATAAAACAAACAATAAATACTATTATTACTAGTGATGTAACGAATATTCGGTTACTATTCGGTATTCGGCCTATTCGGCCTATTTTTCACTATTCGGCCGAATACCGAATATTTAATCACTATTCGGCCTAATACCGAATTCCTAAAAACAGGGGTAATAAATAACAAAAACACAGTAAATCAATCGTTTTGGTATTTAGANTGTAGAAAATTGTTCTAATTAATGCAGGAAAAAAGAAAGGTTGAAAACAAACACCTAAAACTTGTATTCAGAGTTGCTTCTCCAATGAAAGAATTACATGTTTCAAAGATATATTGAAAATACTAAAATGTATGAAGTGTCAAGAGAAATAGTAAACAAGTTGAATGGTTGTTGTATTGATCATTCTAAGTAAAAAAAAAGTTCATATAAATATGTTTCAAATTCAGAATACATGTGGAGATACAGTAGCTTAAAACTGGCACTGACATTAGGGCAGGTATTAAAATATTAGAAATGACTTACTATTTTTATTTATTAACTATATGAATAACACAAAATATAACTCATTGACATTCAATAATTTATAAAGAATGTACAGTTTGCAGGCATGGTTTGAAAATGCCACCAGCAACCTCAATACACTTTGCAACTTGTAATAGTGAGTGTTGTTCTTTTGAGGTTGTTATGGTGTTCTTTGATATTACACAACATTATTCATAATGCCAGCAAGCAGTTTGTGATTATGTGTATTTTCCTTTTCATCCACTCCAAAAACTAAACTCTAAAAGTTAAGTTTAGAGACCTGGGTTGCCAAGGAATGAGGACTACCATAGCCAATCTATCATTCAAAGAATGTTTGAGTGAAGTGTTACACCATATGTGGCTATAATATGCAGGAGTTTCATCATGCTGAGAAATATACCAATCTTTGTAACCAAAGGAGCCACCTCCAATTATAGTAATACTAGTAGAAGGTTGTTTTGCAGAAAGTATAAATATTAATAGTGCAACGAATATTCGGTTACTATTCGGTATTCGGCCTGAGGCTGAATATACTATTCGTTACAACACTAGACTAATTATTACACTAAATATAGATTAGCCAGATTAATAAGCAGTTCAGAAACATTTTTGGAATCCAACTGATTTCAGCTTCAGATTAAAAGAATTTCTTTTGAATAGAATGTTTAGATAAAAACATGCATGCAATTCAAAATTTAAATGGACCAGTACCAGACATGCGTAGTGGCATCCTATGTCACTGTGATTATAGCCATCAATCAAAAAGTGCCTGCCACATGTGTTATTTTCTAAGCATTCCATTTGAAAGATGCTCTTTTAACCTAAAGCTGGAATTAGTTGGATTTCAAAAATGTTTGTGAACTACTTATTAACCTGTTCTTACTGAACTCAAAACAGACTTTTTTGTAATGTGTGGAAAATATTTTCACTGATACATGGTCCATATCTATATGTTATTCTACGTGTGTATACACAACTAAACAATCACTGTAATTAATTGAGCTATAAATCTATGTATATGATGTATTAGGCTTTGGGAAATTTATTATATATACATTTATATAATTAATTAATCTTAGGATCCTTTCATGACAGGAAAATTTAAAGGTAACTTTTTAAAATTAGGAGAATTTTTTTCTATTTAATCACCTATTTTAATGCCAAAAGCATAAAAACATTTTTTGTTGGGTGTTATATAATGGATGTCATTGAAAAGTTTTTGCTAAATGTTTTTACTATTCTTACTTAATTGTACTATCAAAGAGTACATGAAAATTTTTAAATTTTCCTTCTTTTCTGACTTATAGATGACTAAAAATTTTTTAACTCTAAACCATTTATTAAAAAATGAAATAAAATTTAAAAGGTTAAAAAGTCAAACCAGTTTTTTGTAGATGGAAAACACTTTTTTATTACATCATATTTATCCCTATTTCATTTTTTAATAAATGGTTTAGAGTTAAAAAATTTTTAGCCCTCTATAAGTCAGAAAAGAAGGAAAATTAAAAAATTTTTGTGTACTCTTTGATAGTACAATTAAGTAAGATTGAAAAATTCTGACTCCATTGTTTTAAATAATTTATTTCATTTTTATAATGTTTTTACTGTTTTTTTAGATTATAAAAGATTGAGCTTTTTGCAGAAATTTATTCCAAATTTTAATAAACTGCTGCTATTTATTTATAAATCAAATACAGTATTTTATCATCGTTGTTCAGTCTTACTTTTCAAAAATTTCTTTGTGGAAAGTTAACACCTTATCCACATTCTTATTATCAATTTTTATTGAATCCATCAAACTCACTTAGCTTCATACATTATTTTTCCATTTATGATAAATAAATAATTCTGAGGACAACTCTGAGAAAGGCATTTTGAGCTAATCAACAAAATGGCAAAAATCTTTAATAACATCCTAACAAGATCTTTGAACCATAGTTCAAAAAAACAAATCATTGGAATCAATTATATCTGAGAAAAATTACTTTGAAAGCCATTAAGGTAAGTTTTCAAATAAGCTGTTTACTTGTAAAAAAGAAAATCTCATTATTTTTTGGAACACTCCTTAGATGTTTAATTTATTTAAAAATTATTTTAAAATTTTGAATAATTGGTAAAGAATTTTCCTTATAAATACAAAATCATATTAATAAGTAAATTAATTAATATTTTATTTTGTATTAATTAAGTCAAAGAATGTTAATGTATAATTTGGCATGAATAAATTTGTTTATGAGGCTTATATCTATAAATGTACTTAATCTTGTTATATAGGTAAGAATGAGAGCCCCATTATTGAAAAAATTCATTTTATTAAAATAACAGAAAATAAGCATCTAAATGAAAATTATATTATTATTACTAAATTGATGCAATTTTCATAATATTCTTAGTTTTTCTTGATTAGATAACCAAAAGACCATGATAACAATTATTCTTTCTCCAGATATTATACTATATATGTAAAAAAAGATTGAATTCTATATTGTGTTTCTATATAACAGAATTTTAAGCATGAGACTTTCTGTCTAAGAAAGAAAGGTCTCATGCTTACATTTCATAATATTAGTGCAGTTTACCAATGTGAATATCTATACAATATGTAAAATATATTTCATATGGCTTTGCAAATAGATTAATCTAATACCAAAATGAATAAATACTGAATTTCCTTGATTAAACCTTGGATTTCAAATAAACCCTGGGGAATAACAGCACTTTTAAAAATAAACCCTAGGTTGAAAGCATAAAAAACATATTGAAATACTGCATTGTATAGGGTAATGTAGTTTAGAGTAACAGATAAGGAATTTAACTAAAATTCTATCTCTTCAAATTTTCTATAATTGGACAGCATTTTCTAAGATTCATGGAAGCATTTTTTGACAGAAAATTATAAATAATGTTGAATATTGAGCATGGAAAATTTGCAATTGAATCTTAAGTCAAGAGTTTATCAGTCAAAGGGAATTAGGAAAACTCTGGATCAAACTCACCATCTTTTTCCAAAAGAGATGGTAAATTTGAACCAAAAAATGGTAGTCAAGTTCTTGATTCTTACAACATTGTAACAGGCAGAAATTATAATTTAGTAACTAGATTGGATTAACTATGAAAACAGTAATTATTTCAAATGCTGTAATCGTAACCATAAATACAGTAAATAAATGGATTTGATAGTTAAGAATACATTTGTATAATTAAGATATTTCTTTCAATTTTTTCCCACTCATGCAAGGTAATAAACCATGTCCTCATTAACACTCCAAGTCTTCAAGTAAACCCAGGGAAATATGTACTTTTTAAAAATAAACTCTCCCAGGGTTTAATCAAGGAAATACAGTACTTAAATATATAATGTTTTAATAGCATTCCTCTTTTATTTCTTCTTATCTTAATTCTAAAAATACCATTTCAATACCTCTGAGAATGGGCTGGAAAGACCAAGAGTACAAGAATTTCAGAGAATTTTTCATCTTGATCTCCAAAACCATAACAAATTTAACATGCATTTAAACAAAGTTATTCCATGTTTAATAAAACAGGCAAGTTTTGTTTATTAAATTTGAAATAATTAAAATGTTGAAAAAATGATTCTCAGACATTATAAAAGTTGAATTACTCTTGTAATTGATTACTTGGAAAGTATTTTTAATTCTAAAAAGATGATTTGTTATCCCAAAAAGTTAGTGGTCATATAATGATTTTTAGTTCCTAATAAAATAACTTAGTGAGGAACATCAAGATAGATGGAGATATACTATCCAGCTACAACTTCAAAATCCTTTATCTATCCATTTGAACAGATCAATTTTTCTCTATCTGACACAATGTTGTTTGAAACTACTGGACTTGTTTAATCATTAATCAACTTTAGTCTAAACTATTAAATAATCTCTAAAAGTATATTGTAAAATAAAGAAAAAACCCACTAAATGAATTATGAATAATATAATAACTAAAAAGCTAATGGAATTAAATAATTATGAAGTTTACTTACAAGTAACTGAGACAAATTAGATATAAACATCCCAAAAACCCAAGGTATTAATAATCATCCAACCATCAGCCAAATTTTTGTAGCATAATTTCTGCCCAATTTATTTGGCTGATGGTTGGAAACAAATTATTTATGCAAAAATAGATATAAATATTATTTTGTTTTTAGGTTAAGATATAAGCAAAGAACTAATGTAAATTTACCTCTCAATTCCTTAAAAAACATTTAAGAAAAGGCTACATAGAAAATTATTAAAGATAGGAGACATTTCTACTTATTCCTCAAATTCTAAAAAAAATTATTGTACAGTGGAAAAGTAATTGTTAATCTACATAGATATATAAACATCTTTCAAAACCCATAAGTAACTGACATGGTTATATTGTAGTTACATATATAGGAAGAGGAGATTGTACTGAAGGTCTGGGTAGCAAAATTAGCATCTCATCCACATGGCAAGCGGGAGTTNTCAAGATTACATAAGAGATTCCTTCATTTGTATATTAAAAATTGTAAATATATTATTATTAATTATTATGATACATACAAAAATGAGTACAGAATGATTAGTATGAAAAGTAAACAAGATGAATACCAGAAATTTTTCTGATTTATATACAGTATCTCTTTTCCTGGAAAAACTGTATGAATTAAATTATTCCAAAACAAATTTAAAAGCATATCAAATAAGTATTTTACCTGTTATCCATGTTCCATTAAATGTAGCAGGCTCAAAATTGCCACCAATAACTTCTCTCATATCAAGTCTAGCATTTCTTATGTGAAGTCCCTTGTCAGCTTTAAAATAAATAAGATTCAAAAGAAATATACAATAAAAATTGTAACAGTTCAAACAGCAAAAAATAATGTTTTATTCTTTCATTTTATTCTTGTTTTATTCAGCAGAAATATTAATAGGCCAAAAACATTTTTTGTCTGTTTATTAAAATTTCTGCTAGGAAAGAAGAAAAGGTTATTCTTTATTGCTTAAATAAATTTAATTTTATGTTACAACAATCTCAACATTATAAAAAATGAAACATTATCATATCTAATTAGATGTTTATCTTATAGGAAAAACATAAAAGCAATTTTCATTATTAATTGATCAATAATAAATACTAATCATTTTTGCAGCATACCAAATCAATTCAGTTAAACCTTTGATTATGGGCACAGGGAGATTACAAGTTAATTTTATATTATATCATTGATGAAGAAAGTTATGTAAGGAACCAAGTCCAAACGTTATTTTTATTTACTTTTATTTTGCTTATTATTTTATTTTTGTTTGGGGCTTATGTTTNCTCAATCTTGCATCAAAAATTCAAAATGACTACCAAAGAATCATTTGAACTGCTAATAGATGATGATATTATACAAATTGCTAGATCAAGCCGAAATCTTCTGAAAAGAGTATGTTGTCATTTTGTGCTGGAAAAAAAGATGGTAAATATGCTACTAAGTGCAACAGTTGTTTGAAATTTATTTGCAAAGTGCATAGTATTACAAAAATACTATGTGATAACTCTCAAGACTGAACTACGTAATCGCGTTAAAATGTTCCTGAGTCTTAAAAATACAAGTGATTATATTACCTGTGGTTTTTTAACAAATGATAGTTAGAGGCTATAAAAGATACTTTTTTATAAGATTAGTTTCTTAAGAATAAGAAAAAAAAATATCTTTGGTATAAACTTACAATATGGTAAATTTTTGTATTGTTAAAATAAGCATACACCAAAATTTGTAACAATTTTGTGATCTCTTGTAATAATTAAGTAAAGAAAATTATATAAATAAATAAAAGTTGATTATACTAAAGAAGGGTTTCATTTAGCATTTATGCCCTTTTGAACTGTCACATTGTTAAACTTGCTCTTTAAAGGCAAATTTTGCTTGGGGGCCGCGCAGCCCCCATGAAACCAGTTACGTTTGAAAAATTTACGATACCAGTTAAGGGCTAACGCGAATCCGCGTAAAGTACCCGTTAGGGAACGGCTATTTCCGGCACACAGTAGTGTCGATAATCGTTGGAAAATTCGGAAAAATAATATAGTACTTTACAGTTATAGATGATAAATTATTTCATTATAACCTGTAATTGATAGAACTATATATATATATATAAATTGATATATTTCACAATATATAACATACATATATTAAGGAGTTAGGGAGGGTTTGATAAGGGAAGCACATACAAATACTGTATTAATATACAGAATTTGTATATGCTTCCCTTCATGCTTTACTTCATCTGTAATTGTTATGTAATTTTTTTCTTTAGTCACATTATAAAAACCAAACTGAGCTTATATATATTATATATTAGACCAACATCTAATATATTTTTTAATATACTTTTATTATAAATTTATTATATCAATAGAATGTTTTATTTACTTTTACTTCATAAAGAAAATAACAATAATAATCAGAATTTTGAATTGAATCAGTGTATACTTTATTTAATTTTTAACCGTCAACGTGATGATACTAATAACGTTGACTAGAATTGAAGATGCAATTTATCTTATTTACCATTTAAAATCATCACATTTGAGGTAAAATTCTCATACATATACCAACATTCAAGTGTCTCGCATGTCTAGTGAGGCACTGTTTTTCTTCGACGTCATATACAGAATTGGAAAATAATAATAATAATAATTTTATCGTTGCAGTTGTGTATCATAATTTATAAATAATTCTATAGTTACAATTAAAGGTTACATAATTTTACATCATAAACTAATAAAGGAACCTTTAATTTTCTTAATACCAGAAGACCATTGAAGATCTTAATCCTCCAATGAAGAAAAATAATAGACATAAACGCAGGTGATACAAACGTTACGATATATAGCAAGACACATGAAAAGTTACGTGCCTACTCTAGAAATTATTATTAAAACCTTTAGTTATGGAATTAAATGTTGTGTGTCGTTAGACTTTCACATGTAGTTGTTATTAGCTGAGTCGTAAATTGTCACAAGCTACTTCCCACGAATAACATGTTTCAAATGTTAAGTCTTCGATTTCATCTTTTAGATTATTGTACAGTATGCAGAAATACTGCATGAATATCTAATATATAATACAGATATTAAACCTTCGTAAGATAAAAAATTTATTAGATGCTCCTATAAGGATAAATATAATTTTTATACACTAACAACTCTATAAAAATTGAAATCATTTTTTATAATTGATAATATTGTGTATAATAATATTTATTTTAGATTTTGATACAGCGTTTAAAAAATAGAAAGGTGACAATTGGTTATCAATTAGATCTAGTCTTTGTAAAAAGTATCCTTTATTTACTTGAAATACAATGTCATCAGAGTAGGATGAAATCAATTTATTAAAGTTTATAACATAAAATTTGGAAAAATAACATCATATTAGTCATTTGCAGTTTATCATATTAATTTAAATCAATCTTGGCCGATTCATCAGCGGAAGGAAATGAGTTACTTTTACAGTTATACCAAGTTATTGAGCAGCGCTATAGTTTCTCTGCCCCCAAAAAGAAACATCTGATTCATCACTTAAGAGTATACAGACCGTATGGTATAAACTTTCTCAAGAAAAGAACCATCATCAGCCTCACTATTTTATAAAGATTTGTAATGTTTGTAAAATAGTAAGACTGATTATGGTTTACAACACAGCAATGCAGGGGGGTCCTGCAATGTGTGGCAAAGAGAAAATATATTCATTATGATAAGAAAAAATAGAGATAGGAAATAAATAGCCAGAAAAATTATTTTTCTTAATAATTGCAATGAAAGTCAATAAACTGACCGATAGCAACTGTCATAAGTACAGTACATTGTAACCTTGGCGGCCGGATGGCCGAGCGGTCAAGGTGGCAGCCTACCGCTTCGACTGAAATAATTAAATCCTAAATATGCGGCCGGATGGCCGAGCGGTCAAGGTGGCAGCCTACAGCTCTGGGGGACCCGGGCTCGAATCCGAACGGGTCGAAAAATCCCCAGGAACTTTTCGGGGGTGGTCCGTTCGGATATGTCGGGCCCCGTCCCTCACCACCCGGCAGCCCCATTGTGGGACTGGCCGAACCTATAATGGGCTTGCAAACAGAGGCCCTCTTAGTGCCCACAGGGTGGAAAGAGTTAAAAAAAAGTACATTGTAACCATAACAAAAAGTTATTAACAAAGCAAAACATCGCACAAAGGAATATAACACCTAGATTTATGATACGTCTCGTAAAATATCTTCTTTTTTTAAATTGTGATGTTAACGATTATAAAGATACTAGCTGTTACCCGCGATTTCGCCCGCACGGATTTTGTAAGCAAATCCCATTTATATTTAATATTTCAACAACCATAGTAATTGTTATATATCACCTACCTACCGCTGAGAATTGCTGAGAATCAAACGTACTATTTTCAATTTGATCAATTTTCTGGAACTTTTACAATCGTTCTATAATCGAACCAATATGCAATAACAAATTCGAATTTAAAACGGTTCGAACATTTGGTTAAAAAATGGAAATATATAAAAATATTTATAACAATGTCCGAAATGTATTCAATTTAATACATCTGAGTACTCAATGAAGACTAAACGTAGTTGAAAACAAAAAATCGCATCTAAAATAGTATAGTAGAAGCCGTTCTTCAAGTTAAGCCATAAACCTCTCCCTCTCCCCCCTGCGGGGGAATTTCGAAAAATCCCTTCTTAGTATGCGTTTTAATGACGTACCCTAACTGTGTACCAAATTTCATCTCTTTGGGTTCAGCGGTTTGCTCTGGGCGATGATGAATCAATCAGTCAGTCAGTCAGGACAAGTAATTTTATATACAGTATTTAGATTGCTCTTGACAGTGTTTATGGCACTAGCTTTATAAGATATCATACGCAGAAATAACATTAAATTTCGTTTGTTAAAAGTATTTAATATAAGCATTGTGCAATATTAATGTTAATAAAGATTTTTTCGCTTTTTATGTTCTTGGCGTTTTTATTTAAAAATCAGCGTTTTTCTTCCAACGTCCCAGCTCATCCCCATTACAAGGTTGACAAGTATGCAAGATATAAGTCAGCAAGACTGTTTGTCTCGGGCCCGAAACACAAGAGTCCTAAAAGTTTACTTTTTACGTAAAAAATAATACGATGTTTTATAAAGTGATATAAAATCATCTTGATATATGACAAAAAACTGATTTATTGATGTTATTCAAGTACAGTATTTTTATGTGTTTCGGATAAGGATGGGGCACCAAATTTGTGACTGGCGCGGGCTTCGTCTCATTTCTCTCAGGTCCGTTTACTAAACAAAAACTAACTTTAAAAAGTAGCAGAACGTACTGAAATAATTAATCAAGTGAATAAAACAAAATACGTTTTATTGCTCTATTTGATTATAATTTAAACTCATTTACAGGAATGATCAAATTTATCGAATCATCTAAAATTATAAATTCAGAGAATGAAAGATTTTAACAGAAATTCAATTGCATAATGTATAAACGATACAGCAAATGATTTAATGAATCAATTAAAACGTCCAAACGAGATATTCAGGTTTAATCAAGAGCTCTTGGCTTGAAGATATTTAACAACTTTTAAGCATCTATGAGCTAATTAGTACTTATTACGAAGAATGTTTAGGATTAGTTTCTTTAAATGATACTTTTACTGGTAAAGAATTTTTTTACATTAAAAATAAAATTACACAAAAAATTATGGCTTTTCACGTAACAAATTTGTGTTCGAAACGATCAATAAAATTCCTTCGATGACTGGTTCTGAAAATGTT